TAGTACTTAGAGCAGTGCTTTCCACAGGTACACATATAATTGTAGCTTATTTTATTCCTCTACCTGACTAAGGATGGCATCCATCATACAAGCCATGATGAGAAAGTTTGTCTCAAGTTCCAGGGAAAATTTAGACCCCTGATTCCTTTCCAGATTGAGGCATGGTATTCCTCAGCCTTGTTTTCCTTTGGAATCTTCTCCTTGCTCCCTTACACTACCAGACAGCTTTCAAGCTGGGCTTTCATCTCCGGAGTATAGTTCACCAGGCTGTACAACCTTTATACCTTCAAACGTCTGTGCCTTTCTTTCCCCTGCCTTCTCTCTCCCAAACAGAGATCCTTAGTGAACATTGCCAACTTTAGGAGTCTTATCTCAAATTGAGTCTGCCAAGTATGTTTTCCAACAGTGCAGTGCTCGAATCATGACTGCCACAGAGAAAATAAAATCATCCAGAATTCACTTATCAAAGAGAAAATACCAGCTAATAGAGTAGTATCAGAGGGTAGCAGCTACTCTCTTTGGATTATGAAATGAAATAAAAATCAGATGGCTTCTTTCTCACCTTGTTTTTTCCTTGTCTGCAGAGCAGGACTCCTATCTCTCTATTCTCTTCTATCGTGCCCCTCCTGATATGGGGAGCCCTCTCCCAGATTTCAACCTATCCTTAGTTTTTCAGAAGACAGTTTATCCTGTTTTATTTCTAGATTGCAAAAAAAAAAAAAACTTATTTTTCTACAAAATTTGAATTTAAAAAGTTTTCCCAGCATTTTTCAACAATCACATTCTTGTCCTGGGATAAGAAATTTTTGGTTCCACCGATTAAATTGATTACAACAATATAAGAAAATTCTCAAAGTTATTCTCATTTTTTTTTTCTTTTTGGCCTGAGAAGTTCATACACAAAGATTGGACAACCATAGATACTAAGATGCAGTGGAGAAATCAAACTGGGAAATTATCTGACCTAAGAGCTTTAGGGAAGGATACTAGCGAAAGTCAAGCTTTTATTGCAGAAGTTGGAATTTATCTCTTTTCTCACATATTTCATTATAAAATAATAACGATGGGCTTCTTTTTAATTGGGCTTTTCAAATTAGCCAATTTTAACCACATTGGAAGAACATTAACTTTCCCAGGCACTTAGAAACCCCCTGGACTCTAGAACATCTTGAAGAATGATAATTTCCTGTAACTTTTTTTCCGATTCATAATCTGCTTAACAGTAATGTACAAAACATTAAAAATATTGCCAGGAAATATCCTCCCTCTGCTCCAAAGTTGTAATGCTCTCCAGTTAGAGCTGTTCTCAGCTGAGATCATATAATTCAAAATAGTGAATCTCTTTTGTTTCTGTTCCACTAAGGAAGCAGTAAGTTAATCTGTCAGCTGTTTGTTAGGACATGCTAATTACTTAAAACATTGTTTACTATGACATCTAGACAATTTAAACTAGTTTCTAAGTATCTGAATCTACCTCTACCCATGCATTTCTATGTGCTGGCATGATAACTCAGCCTCTTCTATCTCAATACTGAAGTATGTAACTTATGTTTATCAGGTGTTAGGGAAAGGAAAATTGCATTTAAGTTATATTAGATGGAAACTCTAGTTTTAGGTCCTTTATTAGATTTTTTAAAAAAGATTTTATTTATTTATTGGAAAGTCAGATATACAGAGAGGGAAAGAGACAGAGAGGAAGATCTTCCATCCAATGATTCACTGCCCTAGTGAGTGCAATGGCCGATGCTATGCCGATCCAAAGCCAGCATCCAGGAACCTCTTCCGGATATCCTACACGGGTGTAGGGTCCCAATGGTTTGGGCCGTCCTCGACTGCTTTCCTAGGTCACAAGCAGGGAGCTGGATAGGAAGTGGAGCTGCTGGGATTAGAACTGGCGCCCATATGGGATCCCAGGCGTGCTCAAGGCGAGGACTTTAGCCACTAGGCCACGCTGCCGGGCCCCCCTTTATTAGATTTTTGAGGGAAGAAATATAGTGTGTATGTGAAGATAGTTGAAATACACTCAAAATTGTATGTAGCTATTCTCCATACCAATGGTACAAAAAGTTATGACAGACATAGACAAAGGCTGGCCTAAGGAGTCAGCATCTGAACCACAGAAATTCAAGATAAAGAAGCAGAGCAGGAATGAGGCAAAGCAATTGAACAATAATCCATTAGGGAAGCAGAAATTCATAATACCAGGTTGCTCTGGATACCAAGAAAAGGTATCCAAGACTAATATTAAAGTTGAAGTGTATTCTGTGCTAGTCAATAAATGTCATATATATTTCCTGTTGAGCTAAAGATCATCTTCAGCCTGCACTGGGGAATCAGTATGTCCGTATAAAGTGACAACATATGGCTCATCTAGTTCAATGGGAATGATGAGGTCAGAAAAAATGTCAAGAGGCATTTGGCTTCAGTATTTCAATTTTGTTTTATGTATTTTCTGAAAGAAATCTCTTACATATATATAGAAGTTGCTATGCTTTGTTTATACATAGAACATTTTAACATACAGCTATTGTTGGATATTTACATCTAATATTTTTTTTCGCTAAATATATTCCTGAAATTGATTTGAGTCAGAATTCAGTTACTATCTAATCATCATCATCATCATCATCACTGTCACCATTTGTAACCTATTATGTCTTGTTTAGATCTTGTACAAAGAGCTTTACACGCATTGTTTTAGTTCTTACAGTTAATTTAAAAGATGACTGTCATTTTTAGCCATATTTTAAAATGTGGAAAACTGAGATTTAGATAAGCAGTTGGCATAAGCTCATTTGACATGGCTAGGATTCAATGATTCAGTACTCCAACAGCAGCACTGTCATGTGCTCTACTAGGATTGAAACTTAGTTTCATTTGAATTTGGAGTTTACATATACCCAGGAGCAACAGTAAATAAGTGATGCAATACTCAAACTTCTTTTCTATTCAATTATTTTGAAGGAAATAGCAGACTTGATTCTCTTTGTTATTATAACTTATAAAAATAAAAAAGATAAATTCCCTCAATGCAGGGCTATGTCTACTAAATAATTATAAAGCACAGAAACATTTCTGAAAACTATCATTTTTCATGTAAATGAAATATCAAAAATGTGCATAAGTAAACTGAAATTTTAATATATGTGTCAACTTAAGATCAAATTCAGCAACATATAATTTACTATATGTATGTTTTTGTGTGCATGTTAGGTGTATGCACTGTAAAATAGTTGTAGACAGTGAGTTAAGACGTTGTTTCAATTACTTTTGAAAGTGTTTTAAAATAAGTATTTGGAGCTAAATTTTATTCAAACAAATCCATGAAAAGAATGGTTCTTTTAAAATGAGCACCACAATCCTGTTTACACAAATATTTGCTGAAAAAAAAGCAGCATTGTTCTTTGTAATTTGATTCTTTCTCAGAATTAAGAATTTGTCTAACAAAGATAGAAAGGTAAAGTGAGCTCAGAAAGATCAGCTCTTGTCAAAGGTGAATATATCTTATCTACGTACATATATAAATGAATCGGATTGTTAAAATTTTATGGAACATTAGAAATCTTTGGTTTGCTTTTTAAGAAAAGCCAGGGGTTAGTTACAAACATGGATACAAGGAGAGCTTGGAAACAACGATCCATTTCAGTTTGATATGGCATTTTTACTCTGTTGCCACTTAATTGATCTTGGCTAAAATATTTGCATCCACTACTGGTGTTGAATTGTTGTTCATGGAAGAATGTTTATTATGCAACAATTCAAGTCATAATAAGTGGTTAATATAAGATAATCGTCTTCATGAGACTTATCATTATCAATGGTTAGAAAGTTCTCATTAAAAAGTTGACTAGATATGGATGCTTCAACAGTATATTTGAAGTCCGTATATAAAAATTAAATAGTGGATATTCCATTATCCTGGCAATGTACAAATTACTAATGTTGTGTTTGCACAGAGAAAGATGCTATTAAACCAGCAGGTAGTAATGATGGAATAATAACACTACCTACATTTATTAATGTACGCTAGACATCACCCAAGTATTAATTTTAATATTCAAAGTAGCAGGAATATATTGCTAACTGTATTATTTTATAATAAAACTTTTAAATATTTTTTCAAATCTGTACTTTTAGCAAGAATTTTCCTTACTTCAGGTTTTCCAGACACCAAAGTCTATCCTTTTTTACATGCTAACCCTAGGACTCCTAGTGATGATATTTGTAGTAAAAAATTTTTTTAAATTAAGTTTCGGTTTTTAGTTTTTATGTTGAATGTATTTTATGAGGATAGGTCATTAACTTAAAATGTTTATAATGTTTTTCAATTTGCCAGAATATTTGAACACCCAAGAATACCTTGCCCTTCGTTGTGCCAATTAACTATCTGATTATTTCGATTCCAGGAAGTCTGAGCTATGGTAAACCATAACAGCTTTTTCTAGTATTCTAGGATCCACAAAAATTGCAGTAACCATTGAGAAACAAAACTTTTTTTCCTCTTGGGTTTTTAAAAAAGAGTTAGTGTATTAATAATTAGATTTTGTATCATCTCTAGGTTTTCAGTGAAGCACAGTGGATTAAAGAAACTGATGTCTCTGGCTTGGTTTTTATTAATTACAGTGGCAACTTCATCATACCTTTAAAAAAGAGAATCATAATGAAAAAGTTCTACTTTCTCATATTACGCCAAATATTTATTTCCCAGAATTTACCTAAACGTTCTTTCATGAGGCCAGTTCTGTTTTGAAGCTATCTAAATGGCCTTCACTGGGGTGTGGTGGAAAAGTTCTAATTACTTTGCTGAAAACAATAGCTTCATATAAATTGAATTTTTCTTTTAGGATAATTGCCATTCACTTTCGTTTTATGTGCCACTGAGTGGGGATTTTTGCTGTATGCCCTGTGGACAATTAAAGTGCTGAAATAGGAGAAAGCTAATAATTGTTCTGTGTGGTAATACTGACGACTTCTGCGTATTTGTCCATCTGTGTTAACAGTATCGATCAGGATGGGATCCTCATAGAGGGGCAGATAACATTTCCACTAAATCTTCGGACAGTGATGTAAGTGATATATCTGCGGTTTCAAGGACTAGTAGTGCTTCTCATTTCAGCAGCACAAGCTACATGTCTGTCCAATCGGAACGACCGAGAGGAAACAAGAAGATCAGGTAAGTACGGGGTCTTCAGCAATTAACATTTCTAAGTATATTCTAGAGGGCCTTTTCTATTTTTTGGGTAAACATGAAATCTTTGCCTTCTAAAAAGTTGCTAGTTAACATTAAGACCGTGAGAACTTTTACACAGATACTTTTTCCCCCGTGACTATTAATTTGGCCCATACTTAAGACTTAATAAAAAAATGTTGGTGAAATGATGACAATTTTGTGTACTAGGTTTCTTGAAATAATATTTGTGTCTTTACATATTTGCAGTTTAAGAATTAATACTGTCGTTATTATGTTTTTACTGAAATTAAAGTGGCAGTTAAGTGATTGCTTGAAGTTTTTGATAGTCAAAATAAGATTTAGAGGAGTTTTCCTAGTTTTCTACATTTCAGTGGTCCAGGAAACCTAACTAAGTCTTAGCAACATGCTTTCTTAAAATGTTTATAAATATCTGAGAAATTTCCTCATCTTCTAAATACAATATATGAATTAGAATGTTTTTTATTTCTTATCTGACCTATAGATTTTATGGACATTTAATGTCAAAAAACATGGTTTTACTCCTATTGGATAAAGAAATTCAATCATGGAGACATTATAGCTTTTGCCTATTTCTGTGTAAAAATTTAAAAGGAAAATATGACTTGAAAACTATTACGTATTGCATACACAATGCTTCTCAGGTACACACTGAAAAAAGTTACAAGTAAATGCATCTTTTTTGCTTATGGTAGATAATTTTCATTGCCTTTCTGTTTAATTTTATGTGCATATTTCTTGATTTTCATTTCTTTTCTGTGTTTTTATTGCATGCCTTCGGTTTCTGTTGCTTTCAAAAGGCCAAAGGGATTAGAAGAGGGAGGGACTGAAAGGGATAAGCATGAAGAGGTAGTTCATGAGAAGGAAGAAGTAAAGGAAGAAAAAAGTAATGAGAAAGAGAAAGGGAAAGAAATTACAGAAACATGTAATAAGGAGGAAAACAGAGAATCAGGAGATGAGGAAAAAACACCTGAGCAAGGGAAAGAAAAAGAACAATGGAATAAAGAGGACTTGCAAAGGAGATTCTCACAGGATGATGACAGGTAATATATGCTAATTTTGTAGATATTTCCCATTAGTGATATAGTTTCTTTTTACTATTCCTAAAAGTTATCTTGACATTTGTATTTGCCTTGTTGTCTTGTGTTTTATCTACTTACCTTATAACAAAAATTCCTAATATTTTTGAAATTAAGATCAAATAGCATGATTTATTCAATAGTATTTTACTTATAGGCACTAGCTCTGACAATCTAATATATTTGATTTTAAGATTTGTGTGATTACTTCATTTCATCCTTATCTGTAGATTCTGAAGATTATTGAAAAAATTAAATAATGGACTACTTTGTAAGAAATATTATGTATTAAAAATACATGGAAATGAGTAAGAAAATAGCTAGCAAACATAGATTTTATTCAGTCTATGATTTCTTTAGTTTTCTGCTAACTCCTAAGATGGTTTCAATCTTAAGATCACAAAGCAGCAGCAGAGTGCTAATACTCTGAAAAGAAAGGCTGGATGCCAGAGGCTGATCAGAAGCCAAATATGTCAGGCTTTGAGTTTCGTAAAATTCAATCAGTTAGAGACTGCTGGACAAAGAACTTTATGTAGAAGAAAAAGGCAAGATGTAAACATAAACAGTGAAGTATAAAACAACTGCGTTTTTGTTTTTACACTAAGCCACTAAGAAGTGTGAGCTAGTACTGTTTATGCTACACCCAGTCAGATCACACAAGTATGCAGTAAGTCTTCATCCTTTTGCTTGAGTAGACGAGTTTACTCTGATTGCATTTATATAAGGCTACAAATTTCCAACATGTATATGTTGGAGAATTTGGGTTTCCTAGCAGCCCAGTATTTGATTTTATATTGATGCAAAATCTGCTTTTAAAGCATATGTTATTTTCAAACCAAATTGTTCTTTACTATCCCTAAACTCTGTCTCAACTTCTGTATTTCTCATAATTGTTGGGGTATTTGACTGTTGGTTATATAATTCAGTGATTTATATAGATAGCTCCCCTTTCGATTCGAGCATGTTTAATTATATCTGTACTCTTGGGAAGCTTCTATATAGCAGGCAGGCATTAAACTACAAATGAACTTTAAGTAAGGCATATTCTGTGATCTGTGCATTAACTAGTGATTTCAGTTCTGCTATTTACCAAACTTTGATTATTACATTTCTTTATTAAGAAAGCCATTTTTCTGATTTGTTGGGCATAGATTCAGTTCATCACAAATCTCAGATAATGCGTTCCATCTTCCAAGAGTAGAGCAATTGTGAATCTTTCATGAGTTTTATGTTCCATATACTGTGTACATGAGACTTGGCTCTGTTGATCTTTACCTGGAGCCAAAATCTGTGCTAACACACATGATTTGGCACACAAAAGGCTGGAAAATTATTACTGTATTCTTTCCTGATTTTAAATATTATGTTTTTCATCATTTTCTTTAGGAAAGGAATATATTAGTTTGTAGGAAAGGAGGAAAGATAATATATTCTTAGTGAAATGATTTATCAAGGTATTGTACTGAGTTTAAGTGATGCTGTAAGATTTCTGGAAGTATAATCTGGAAGAGGTCAGGCTAGTCTCTCGAAGGAGCATTAAATCTCTACTCAAAACAAAGTATAAACTACAGTCATTTATTGGAAAGTGTTGGAGTCCCTCATCAGTTATTGAATTTACTTTCATTTTCAGACTAAATCTTGCAGTCTTTATTCTGAAGAAAATATGTCTGTTTATCCTCAGTAACATTCTGTTTTCGTAGTTGATAAACACACTTGTGGACTATTTAACTGTGAAAAGCACATCATTGACACTTTACAACTTTCACTTGAAATCCAAGTGTTTGCTTTTGTTTTAGTGAAAAGGTGTATTTGTAAATTTTAAATACAGAGTTACAGAGATATAGGGGAGGAGGGGAGAGGCAGAAAGAGATCTTTATCAAGTGGCTCCCTCCCCAGATGTTCACAATGGTTGGTGCTGGTATCTGAAGCTAGGAGTTGGCAGCTTCCCCCAAGTCTGCCATGTGGATGTGGGGACCCTTGTACTTGGCTCTCACTGCCTTCCCAGGTAGATTATCAGAGAGCTAAATACAAAGTGTTGCAGCTGGGACTCAAGAAAGTGCTCACATGGGATGCCAGAGCCACTGGAAGAAACTACCTACGTATTTCCCAGAAATCCAAGATTTTTTAAAAGAAAAACAAAACAAAAAGACACACACAAAAAAACCCCTCATTCCAATTTTGTAATAATGATACTAATATTTAAAATTAACACTGTGATTACAATGAATCAAGTTCATTATAATTACAGTAAATTATAACTTGATCTTGGGTAATGAGATGTTTCATTGCAGATTTTGTTGTTTGTAATACAGTAGTTTGCATTAAATAGGTTTACTGAATATACAAGTAGGTAATAAATACCACAAAACTGAATTCCAAGATGATTCATTAGATATCTGTTTTGTTAATGACTGATGCAGTCACACTGATTGATTCCATATTTACAAACATGTATGTAGGCTGGTAAATTTTTTTATTTCTTTTATTATTTTATATAGTAAAATTTCATAAAAACAAAATTGTATTTGCTACTTAAGATATTTTTCTCACTACATGTATATGTCTATTTCAAATGTTAAATTTATTTACTTTTGCTGACTAAATACTATATACAAAGGTATTTCTAAAAGTTCATAAATAGTAGAATGAAAATATTAAGTTTATATACTGCAAAAATTTTGAAATCCATGCTTATGATATGCATTTTTATTAATTTTTCAAAGATCCCTTACAGATGTGGCAAGCTGTTATAGGGGACAAAAAAGAATTGAAGGGAAAAATGGCTCATTCAAAGCAGTGTTTATTCCAGAAACTTCTCTGGCACTGTACTAAGAACTAGAGATAAAAATGAAATGAGCTGTTTCTAACGTTTCAAGCCCACGAGTGAAACGATTTCTTGGTTATGTGTGAATGGATACTTGAGTGTATCTGTATATTCAAAATATATCAAGGTTCCTGAGTGAATTTACAAATACATTTTAAGAAAGAGTTTGGCATAGAAAAAGGCAACTTTTAAAACTTTTGCTTTAATTTTAATATTGAATTTTAAAATTTAATATTTAACAGATTATATGTGATTTGCACATATAGTTCTTTATTATTATTATTTTTGACAATCTTTACATAGTTACTTAGGGTAAAAAGGTTCAAGGGTTATAGGAAAGTGGGTAAGACTATTATTTCCATATTGTTTCCTTCTTGTTTAGGGGGGGTGATTTAAGGGAGAAGGCCCACCCAATTTCCCACCCTCCCCAGGTCCCGCATGTAGGGTATGCTCCGAGGTTCTTGCTCAAGTGGTTTTGATAGTTCACCAGTTATGAATCGCTGCCAATCTTGCCACTCCAAGCACTATGAGGTCTTTGAAGAATCCACTGTGGAGCGACCCACAATAACCTCCACCAGCCCCGCCACCTACTCTGGTTTGCCAGTATGTGTAGCAATAGTCCAGTCTGTCCCACACCCCATTCCACCCCAGCCCCTGTCCTGGTTTTCGTGCCCTCCCGTGGAAGTGGTAACCCATAGGGAGGAGCCCACTATTTCCCTCCCAGAACACTCCCACTCCTGGATTATGCACTCTCTGGGTAGTTCTGTGGTTTGACTTGACAGAACTAGCCCCCAGTGCCAGCTTCTGCCAACTGATGCTATGGCTAAGCCCAAACAACCCTCATCCACTCTAATTTTGTTTGCACCAGTAGGAGTAATCAGCTCAGCCTGGCTTTTCCCTGATCTAGTCCACATGAGATGTACAGGCGTTGTAGCCCTGCTTAGTCTGGTCTGTCCTCATCCCAGTTCATGCTCTCCAGTGGGAGTAGCTGTCCAGCAAAGGAACCACCCTTTATTCCCCTGCTGGCTCTGCCCCCTCCATTCCTGGTTCTCACAGGTGCT